CGACACAACGGCCCCCGTCATTACGAATCCCGACAAATAGGCCCCCGTCATTTTGGCTCACGACAAATAGGCTCTTGTCAATTTGGCTCCCGACAAAATGACCACTGACAAAACGGTTTCCTGTCAAAACAGTCTCATTGAGTATGACACCTGCCAGTGGGACCCCTTCATCAATATTCTTTAGAGTTAGCTTATCCAACACTCTTAAGTAATACAACGTATGCATCTCTGGTTCGACAGGCCTTATTTTTATAATAGTTTATCTATTATAAGAAAAAGTATGTTTTAATTTAAGGGTAATCTATCTATGACTTAAATATATGAGTTGATTGAAGGGCGGTTCCAAATCAAGTGTGTGGGGAGAGGGGTCCACGCTGTACATCCCTACCTGCAGTATGCATGTAGGTTATCAAAACAAAATGTCGTTATCCTGTAAACATCATTAATATCACACATTTACACTTCTGTGCTCGCTTTTAACCAACAGATCTTTTCTGTTGTAAATTTAACATCACAACTTTATAATTGGTGGAGTTTAGCTGTTAAGGGCTAGATTTGTTTGTGAATTGATGTTGGTTAATGAAAAACAATTTCATGCAGGCATTTTAAAGAGGTTATAGTGGTAGTGGATGCAGGACAAATGATTACTGTTATGCCAATAGTGGTAATACGATTCATTTGTCTAGAGCCAATATGTCGGGAGTCATTTTGTCGGAAGCCAATATGTCAGGAGCCCTTATGTCGGGAGCCAATATGTCGGGAGCCGCTTTGTCGGGAGCCAATATGTCGGGAGTCCATTTGTCGGGAGCCTAAATGTCGGGAGCCCATTTGTCGGGAGCCTATATGTCGCGAGTCAGTATTACAGGAGCCCATTTCACCGGAGCCAATAAGTCGGGCCCTTTTGACGGGGCTATTTTGACGGGGTCGTTTTGTCGGGGGTTGATTTGACGGGGTCATATTAACGGGGCCGATTTGACGAGGCCGATTTGTCCCGGGCCGTTTTTTCCCCCACCCCATACATGGATTGACAGGTTATAACGATTCTCAACCAAACCGTTTTCCTCAGGCATAATGCAACGTTGAGTTGAAGTAACCCCCCTCCCCCCCCAACGGCAATTGCTTACTTAAACTGTGCTCAAATAATACTAAAAATTTGTATCTATATTCGGTTATAAATTCAGCTGGATGTTGCATGTTTTCTTAATCAATTCGTCATGATGTCACCCCCCCCCCCCTCCAACCGTGTCGGGATTTGTCCACTTTGCTCTTAAAAGACTATTTGATTCACTCTAATTAATTAAGTGAAATCATCATTTTTCTGTATATATATTTACAAATTTTTGCCTTGGTGTCACCCCCCCCCTAAATGGTGTCACCCGGTGCGGTCCACCCCCCACCCATCGCTACGCCTCTGGTTAGAATGTAATTGAGGTAATATATGCATGTGTATACGTTTGCTTGCGCATCATAATTTAATAGAATATTGTCACATTTGACTGCACCAGTTTTTGCGCACTAAAAATGTTAACAAATAAAACCTATTTTCTCGCACCAATGAGATGCGCCTATTGAATGTCATTGTTTACTAACTTTTGCTTCCGACCTTGCATGTTTTGAATCTACATTACAAATCTTTTATAGATCTAAATATTATAGAAGGTACGTAAAATGTATTACTCGCAAAAACATTAAAAAGCACATTTATAGATTAATAATAATGTTTAAGCTTTAGCGTTCTCTATACTACTGTTTGTAAAATGATTAATATTTAATTTAGTATTAACTGTTCGGTAAATATTTTTATTGAATCATTTTATGCCCGATACATTCTGATAGTTCGATTTGTTGAAAGCATAAGATAACGAAAGGGCGAAAAAAAATATTCTTTTATATGAGCATAAGACTTTGCTATTGTTGTCGTGAATATTAGGAAAGAAGCTTCTTTTAAATTGATTCCAATAATGCATTTAAAAATAGATCGGGATAGCTTCAAGTTTTGAATACGGAAGTGTTTTCTAGAATATATCAATAACAATAACATGATAGTGAAGGGACGGAGTGGAGTCGGCGTGGTCGAGTCGGTAAAGCTCATGGTTGTTAAACTGAAAAGTCTCGAGGTCGAACCCTCGGGCAGATGAGGCTGATTAGTAGTTTGTTCTTTGTTGGACAAAGGCTATAGAAGCAAATCCAAAATGAAAAGCAGGCTGAATCAATGGCCTCAATGTCGCTTAAATCAGAGGCGTAGCGATAGGGGGCGAGGGGCGCAGATCGCACCGGGTGACACAATTTAGGGGGTGACACCAAGGCAATAAATAGCAAAATATATAAAGAAAAATTTGAGGGGGGGGGGGAGGGGTGCAAATCGAAAGTTTGAGGGGGATCCAAATCGAAAGATTGAGGGGGGGGGGCTGCAAATCGAAAATCGAAAGTTTGTCCCCGGGAAGTGTCGCTACGCCTCTGGGGGCGACACCATTAAGTGCCGCACCGGGTTACACCTGACCTCACTACGCCACTGGCTTAAATGTATTGGAGGGGATCGAAAGTTTGAGGGGGGGGGGGGTTGCAAATCGAAAGTTTGAAAGGGGGGGGGTGCAAATTGAAAAGCGAAAGTTTGTCCCCGGGAAGTGTCGCTACACCTCTGGGGGGCGACACCATTAAGTGCCGCACCGGGTTACACCCGACTAAAATTAAGAAGAAAAAAAGAAGGGATTGGCCTAGAGGTACGAGATCAGCAAGTCAGGCGACCGTCTCTAAGTCCACCCCGCTCTAATGGGTACCCTGAATATAGCACACTATCTCTTCACATGCCGAGGTCACATAAGTAAGTGAACTCCAATTCCCTTGCCCCATGGACCATCAGGTTTGGAAGGGGAACTTAACTTATTTAACATTATAGAGGGGTTTACGGGAACCGTTAGGTTGCTTTATATCGGATCAAATCTATATATATAGTTCTCTTCATGGAGACCATAGAAAACACCACGCAGCTTAGCCACCACCCTCATCCCCACCTTTCAGGTGAGCTGTGGTTCGAGCCGAATGTTTACAATCGTAGAGCCGGGTTAGTGACGGCTATTAGGGGCAGATAATTTAGTATTAAACGATTTGAAACGAAGGGTAACAATTTCTGATTTATCTTTTCTTTGTCTGTAAACGGCTGCTTTCACTGGGCGGGGGGGGGGGGGGCGGGAGGGGGTAATGTTGAATTCACAAATTATGAATTGCTGATAAGCAGAAAATAAAACAACTAGATGGCGGCGTATCCTACGCCGCGGGTCAGCTCGTAGTGTTTAACACATTACTTAGAGTTGTATGGAGTATTATGAATAAACTAGCCCGTCATACTGGCGATTCTGGTGACTTTTAGCTCACTTCTCTTTACAAATAGGCTAACCGGTTTTTCTTTTAGAAATGTGAGTGGCATTTAAAACTGTCTGGGGGGAGGATGTAGGGGATGTGTGTGTGGGGGGGGGGGGGGGATAGCGGATATTAGTTTTTCGATTTTTTTATGAATTTTTTTTTTCAATTTCGTTCAGGGGAAGAAACGGTAGAGATGCTTGAAATAAAATTCATATATTTTTACGGAAAGTGAGTAATGAAATGAATTGTAATTCAGCTTTTTAAAAAGTCGTTATCGGAAACTTAGAAAAAGAAACATTTTATTGATCAGGAGCATTGAAATGAAATATTGTTAAAATTATAGAAAGAAATGTAGAGTCTAGACGTAGAACCTAAGTCTAGTCTTTCCATAGATCTAGATCTAGAATTCTCAAGACTGGCTTATTAAGTCTAGTTTTTCCGTAGCTCTAGATCTAGAATCCAAATAGTTAGTGTAAATTTTATAAGTTTAGGCCGAGAAAATTGTATTGTACTCATTTCATAGCGTAAGTCTATTTGATAAGTAGATTTAAATCAAATTTGAATGAAATAGTTCATTTCTTTATATTCTAAAATTGGAAGATGACGCCATTAGTTTTGTGTTCTTTCCTTTGACTTAGTTTAAACTTCATGTGACGTCATTGTTTCTTGCGTTCTTGTCGCGACAATAAACGCTTTAATTAGAAATCTGTTGTACATTCGAATATGCCTTTATTTTTTATTTTCCTTCTTTAAATACAATGTAGTCTATACATTTATACCGTCCACCATGTTATTTTCAATAAAAGTCCGTATCTTTAAGTTCTACATATAGCGCTGAAAAGGCTGACGGAGTTGCCAAAAATATTGCGGACAGAGAGAAGTGCGCACACATTCTAAATTTATGTAATGTTCGAACTTGAGACTTTCGGGTTAGCAGCTGGAAACTCTTGAATTTTTCCACATGGTGTATGCTCATATAAAGTTTCATGCTAGAAATTTATAACCAAACGAGCCCACCCGCGGCGTAGCAAACGCCGCTATTTATTTGTTGTATTTTCTACTTTTCATTAAATCATAATTTGTGACTGAAATAATTTGCTTTAAAACACTATCTGTAGCTCGTGAAGGACGATAACTCCCAAGCTCCCTTCCCCCACTCCTACTCCCCATCCCTCCCCCCCCCCCCACATGTCACCTCTCATAAGTTTTAAATCGGTTAAAAGCTAAATTATCTGCCCCTAATAGACGTCACTAATTCGACCCGGCTCTAAGATTGTAAACATTTGGCGTGAACCAGAGCTCACCAGACTGTTGGGAGTGGGGGGGGGGGGGGGGGTCGCGATATGCCTAGAGAGGAAGGGAGGGGAGGCTATGCGCGCTTACGTGGTGGTGGTGGTGTCCCAAACGGGCCCCACGAAGAGAATTGTATATATGTGCCTGTCTTTGAAAACTGATCACCATGTTGTATATATACATATATATATATATATATATATATATATATATATATATATATATATATATATATATATATATATATATATACATATACATATATATGTGTGTGTGTGTGTTCGTGCGTGTGTGTTTGTATAAAACATATGGGTTTTTGAAATCTACATTACAGATCTTCCTACAACATGAACTCACCTGAAATCTGCACAGAGATCGTTAAGTGTCTCGGGATTGTGTGGACAGACAAAATGTTTCTCGACTTTACAATCAAGATACACGATGACACAATCACATGTCATAAGCTCGTTCTTGCTGCCTGCTCTGAATTTTTCCAAGCGTTGTTTCGATCAGGAATGAGGGAGGTCAAAGAAAACTGCGTTGTGTTAAAAGATGTTTCCTATGAAATATTTCAGTTGATTCTGAAAACACTTTACACAGGTGTCAATGTTTTAACGTTGGATAATTTCATTCACGTTTGGAGGGCTGTGCACATGTTGCAGATCAACTTTATGGTGAAAATGTGTGAAAGATTTGCTATTGCGTCCATAACGTTAGACAACTGGGAATACATTTATACAACATCTAAGCTTTTAGGTTCGACTATTGTTCTAGAGAGTCTTCATAGATTCATGTTACAAAACTTTGATCAAATAAGTCTTTCATCAACATATCTACAATTGCCGTTCAGTGATATTCGGGATTTGATAAAAAGCCAAGATTTAGCTGCTAGTAGTGAAGATATTGTGTTAGAATCTGTGATACGATGGGTGGGTTGCTGTACTCCCAATAATAAATACTCGCTCGTTAAAAGTAGGAAAATAGTATTTGGTGTTGGTGAAGAGAGTAACGAGCTAGAGAAAACACACTCTGATATTACTATTGATATTGCAAAGAACGTGATTGTATCTAGAAAAGACAATCTAACAGAACTGATACAATTGGTGAGGACATATCTTGTAAGTCCGTCTGTTTTATCACGCGTCTATCAACACGAATTGTGTTCTGAAAATAAAGACTTTAGAGATATAATCGTCAGTGCTTTGTCGTACCACGCTCATCCTACAAGAGACGGCCTGTGGCCATCAGCGGCTGTGCACAGATCTAGTAGCAGCTATACACACGTTGGGGTTTATGTGAAACGTTACGGACAGTTTAGGGCAATCAGCGCCTGCGATGAGAAGTGGTACGGCCTGTCAACGTGTGATGAGTTAAAAGACAGCATCCAGCTGGTCACCTACGATGGTGAGCTGTACGCATCAGGGAAGTCACTCAACCAGCCGGACGGACATTGTAAATTGTTTGTCTTCTCTGAAAACACCTGGAAAGAAATCTTCAAGCTGCCTGGTTATAATTTGTTGCTAGTTTCTCATGGACAATTTATTTACCTCCTAAACAAAGATGATAATGCTATTTACAATATAAATCCAAAAAGCTTGAATATTAAAATGTGTACACAGTTTTCAATGAATGTTGAAGTTAAACATATGACTGTTTTTGAAAATTCCCTATTGCTCTTTTGTTCTGAAACTCACAACCAAATTGACGAAACAGCCATTCATAAATTTGATCTTTTATCTAAAGTTTGGATGAAACTGGAAAATTTGGATGGACCAGCAGAACAGGTTATCAGTTTTAGGAACGACAAATACAGCTTCATATTACAGACGAATGGCTGTCTGTGGGTTATTTTACACGCAGCCTCCTCACAAAGCATCGGAAGAAAATTTGTTTCTAAACTTTGGAACTGCCAAAAGAAATTACACGGAGCTTTGGTCTACAATGACAAGCTGATTGTTTTTGGCAATGGCTCCAGCAGAGACCCACCGGATGCAAATAGAAGAGAATCCGTCCCTGGATATATTGAAACTATCAAACACTGGGGCCATGAAGCTACATGTTCTAATTTTGTTCCAGTTACTCTTCTAAAGAGTTGTCTATTTCAACCTACTAACTCAAACAACACTAAATAGAGGATTTAGGACATGGACGTTCATTTCTTTTTATGAAATCACCACAAGGGAGTAGATTTAGTTTTTATCTCCATTGACTGATGTCTTTTTTATGTAACTAGAGCAAAATTAGCCAGAATAAATGCAAAATATGCTCATCTTCTGAACATTATAAATATCAAAAAAATTGTATTTTAAATGTCCTCTTAAATGATGCAGTAAGCGTGCCTTGCGTGTATTATTTCGATATTGAAAAAACAATTACATGAGATAAAAATTGAAATAAATAAATTCATACAACTCGTTTAAGCTGTTAAATAAAGAGGAATGTGTTTACTGTTGAGGTGAATGTTAAGGACATCCTATTTTACAAATTCTACTTCTTTCGTTAAAATTATTTGAACGTTTTTAAAAGAAAAAAAAAACATCTCTTGACTTAAATAAATTGTAATTGTTTCCTGCTATTTCATTTTATCGATTATGGTATAAGATGTTCATTTTTGGGATATATTGAGGTTTTTTTCTAGTATCACCCATTATCAGCTATAATGTATAAATAGAACAATTTCAATGGTCGGTTTAAACTAATAATCTTTTTATTATTATTATTATTATTATTTAAGTTTACAAAAAATATCATGGTATTTGTTTTCATTTTTTTTAACCTAGAGACATACATTAGCTGCACAAAACACAACTTAATGTACACTTAAAAGATGACACAATTTCAAAATGATGTTTATATATTCAAAACGACTAACCTCGAGTTGAAAGGTCACATTAAATGTTCTGCTTTACTAATTATATATTAACACATAAACTGTTTACTTATGTTTTCTAATGTGAAATAAGTAATACTAATATTTTATAAGATACAGATATTGTTGCGATAATGTGATTGCAAACTCTAAGTGAATCCAAAACCTCTCAAGTTTTGTTGTTTCCCAGTAGTAATTGTAAATGCTTACTTTTTATCACTAATATTGTGTTGCCTCTTTACTGAAAATGAAAAATACATTAAAGCACATTATTCTACAGCTTTTAAAAATTGTTTTCAGATTTTTGTTTTATATTATCTTAGAGAGTGGTAATTGTAAGTTAAATTATAACTATTCTTTCGCTAAATTAATATAATAGAGTATTAAAGGAAAACAATTTTTGTATTACATTATTATATTTCAGCAGATGTGTGGAATGTCAATCATAGAATTTCTTTTTCACTGATATTTTATTTTGCGCAAAAAAAAAGTTTTCTTTCAAAATAAATATTCTGTGGGTTTTTTTTTCAGAAAATGTTTAAAATTATTCAACGTTCTAACAATTCTATTAGGCAGCTTCTTCACATAAAGCTAAAATCGTTACGGTTTATCAAATCATACACTTTAAAATGTAATTTTGAATCTACAGGATTCAGTGAGTTTTAATTTTTTTTTTAGCATTCAACATATCGATGATTTTTTTTAACTGTAAAAGGGCAAATATAAATGAAAGTTTAATTCCACATTCAGCTTAATTAAGAGTAAGAATAAATTTGAATATTTTAAAATATTTTTTTAGGTTTCAAAGCAGAATAGTTAGCCATACATTGGCCTGCATCGAATCTAAACATAATGTTGATTATTTATCAAAATAAAACAAAGAAAAAAAACCTTCACTGTACTTTTAGACTATTCATATTACCAGAACTTTATAATACAAATATTTATAAGGATTTTCTGGTAACAGATTCCTGTTTGGTACAATAAGATATTTAAAACTCTAACTTCGTCTAAATTCTAAATTACCCAGTGGTGTTACACATAAATGACAATAAAAAATTAATATGAAATTTTGGGACGTTGTCTGTTGGATGAAAATATGCGTTTTCTAAAGCTATGGTCATGTCCCAACCGTCTAGAAAAATTATTCTGTTCATTAAATCTTTAAATACATTTAAAATTATCTTTAAATAAAATGTTCCTAGACTGTCTCCAGTTATACTGTGATTAAAAACCCATTCGAATGATGCAACGTGTGGACCACGGAAAGCTATTGTTGCATCAGGGTTTCTGTCCAAAAGTCGCTTGCAGGCTGCAGTTACAGATCTAAGACGTAGCTCGGCTAGACTTAAATGGGACGTCAAAACGTGGAGATAGTAGTGGAATATTACAACGATTTTACCGTTTGACGACATGGCGTCAATATGTTGGGCTACACCATCGTAGGGGAGCTTTGTTGTCCAAATGGCACGAAGATAAAGCGGGTATTCGTGTGGGGTGAATGTTAAAGTGATATTGTTCCCTTTGTTTTTGCACACCTCTTTGTGCGGCCATGCTCCGCGTTGGCTGGTGATGGACTGAGTCACATCTCTAAGCTGTCCGTACAGACGAACGCCATTGGAATCCCCGAACACCCAAATACTAGTATCACGTAGACAGTCTAGTGCCAGACCTGGGGTTATGTAGGAATGGTCACAGACCAGAGATGTCCAGACTTCTCCAGGTGACCAGTAGCCTTTTGGTTTGGTCAAGTCCCAGGTAGCTGATAGGCTCGTCTTATAGCAGGGTGGAAGTGCTGGTAGAGAGCCTGAAAACGAAAAATTTTCTTTTTCTTTTTACATATCTCGATGGTATTCAAAGCAACAACAATGGAACGATATGTATTAAAACAGTTTTAACCGTTAATGAGAGGCGACACATAGAATCTTAATAAATTGTCAATTTATATAAAAACTAATATCTAGCAACATTACAAAGAAATTTTTCAAACAAACATAGTGTAAAGACATTCAGATACAATCAATGAAAAAACTAAATTCTGGTTAAAGCGACAAATACTATTACATTTAAATGCAAACTATTCCAAGCATATTTGTGAAGCTTTACTCTAGTCCAAACGTCTTTTTTTGTCATTAAAAAATGCATAAGTATTTGTAAGAAAATGATCGTAAAACTCTTTTCTTTTTACCTGAGTTATTGACGTGAATCGTAATGTTAACTTGTAGAGTGTTAACTTTTATGTCGCTGTAAAATGAATTTTTTACAATTTAAAGATAATTCTTTCCATTCAATGCAATGAATTAAAGTTAATTTTTATGTATGAACAGAAGAAGGTGTAAATATAATATATGTATATATATATATATATATATATATATATATATATATATATATATATATATATATATATATATATATATATATATATATATATATATATAATATAACGAAGCTGGTAGTCTGTCAGTCCGTCATCACTATAGATCTTGGAACCATATAAGTAAACATAGCACCATGCAGTGCTTTTACATTTCATCCCATTGTCTTGTTGTAAATAACTGAGTAGGGTTTGTTTATATAACTAACCACTTAAATTTATTTTATAGTTGCCACAGCTTTCGAATAACTTGAACACAATTCTAAACCATATTAAAAGGATCAATGTCAAATATCATTTTCGTCTTGATTCCTAGAAAAAGTGCATACATTTTCATAATATTAGGGTCGAAAAAACTAATTAATTAAAATTGTGTAACAGTTATAACAGGGGAGGTAATTTAAAAATAAATCCAATTCACGCGAGTAAAAAATAAACCGGGTGTTATCTCCCCTAAACTTTTTCGAATATTCTTATTTAACACTTCGGGGAATGGCAACTCGGGATATAGACGGAGATTTTTATTACTTAAACTTTTGAATAATAATAAACATTTTTTAAAAATTTTTTGTTGTCTTTTGGTTTTGGTTTGTTTTGATTTGGTTGGGCAATGGGGGTCGGCGTGGTCGAGTCGGTAAAGCTCATGGTTGTTAAACCGAAAAGTTTCGAGTTCGAACCCTCGGGCAGATGAGGCTCGTTAGCTGGGGACAGCCACTCTTCTAGGAGAGACAACTCCAAAATTAAACAACTGCTGCCTTGTAGTTTGTTCTTGGTTGAACAAAGGCTATGGAAGCAAATCCAAAAAGAAAAGCAGGCTGAAATCGGAGTCAATGGCCTCAATGGCGCATAACCAGTTGACACGTAACGCTTAATTGTGTTGGAGGCGTGGTCGAGTCGGCAAAAAGCTCATGGTTGATAAATTCGAACAAAGTCTCGAGTTCAAACCCACTGGCAGATAAATCTCGATCCCCTTCAACACTAATAATTAAGAAGAAGAAGAAGAAGAGGTTGGGCAATGCCGGGTATATCCTGATTACTAAACACACATATCATGGTCCTTTACAGACAGGGTTTTCACAGATGCCAGTGCAGGGCCTTGCTAGTTAACTAAAATAAATGGTTTAATTACCTGACTGTCACAGATTGTATCAAATTTATTTCTTCTTGTGTTATGTGGGATGGCCTAGGCAAAGTGATAGACAGTGTGGCATTGAAGTCCTGGCAGCTCAACCTGTTTAGATGTTTACATATATTGTTTGACTTAAACCAACGCTAAACCGCCACGTATGTATAGACCTCCATCTAAGTCTAATCCAAAGTCTCATGATAATCTTAAAACTAAAAACTAATCGTTTGTTGAAACCAAAACCGAAGTTTACTCATAAGCCTATACGTAAACTTTATCTAAACCTAAATTTTGACTAAAACGTTAACCTAAACATGAAGCACGAATTATAGATTTTATATATATGTCAATTATAAACGTGTAAACAATATTTGAACAGAAACTACAACTGGTTACAATGTAGATTTTTACCTGCGCATTTTTTTCCTAGAAGCAGACTATTTTAAATTGTGCTTAGAAAAAGTATACGTAAGCCAATAATATTATATTCAACAAATTTAAATAGCATCAGTTAACTAAAATTTAAAAAAAAACTTAAAAGTTATGGCAGTTTATACATATATTATTGCCATGACTTGACTTGTACAGCATATAAAAGTATAGAAAGCAATGTAAAAAATTAAATTGTAACACTCCTTTAGACATGACCGATTATACGAAAAAAAACAGACCTTTTATCCAGAGGACGACCACAGTAAAAAGGATGTCTGTTGGTGGATGTGAGGTTACAGAGACACGGTCTACCTGGTACGTCTGGCTG